TTTTTTTTTTTGTCAGTTGAAGTTTGTTTGGCAGAAAACCAGTATCTTTAAAATAATTTGAATTTCAGCTACAAAAAGCTAGGTAAAATTATCTTAAAATTCATTTTTTGTGGAATTTGTGACTTAAACTCCAGTGTAAGTGTATCCTTAATATATACTTGTGCCCTACAAACAAAACAATGAAAATAAACTTAAGGGTGCAGGACTTTTGGATTTCAGTGGGAGAAGGAACTGAATGAGAATCCACCAAGAATATTGCTGCCACCTTCATGACAATTGGTTTCTTGTTACTGTTCCTAGTGCTGACAAGTTTGATCAGAATGGAGTAAGGTAGACCCTGCAACTGCCCAGTTGTACAATGGGTTAAATTAAGTAGTTAAAGGACTCGTTGAGAGTTTGTTGAGGGACAGCTTGAAAATATCGGTGGAGGCATCTGGATTGCACTCTAGATCTTGGGCAGACCAGATCCCTGAATAACATACTAGACAGACAGTTAGTGCCATGCCATCACCTTCAGTGGACTTATAAAAGGAAACACTGAATGTGGGCAGGTTGTAGGGAGAGTATTCTTTGGGTACTTGGGTGTACAGGGTGCCATGACCCTTTTGGCATCATGGGCAGAAGAGAAAGGAGTAAGGCATCCACATGCAATATAGAGTCCATCTGAGCTAAATGAGGCAATAACTGGCAATAGGACTGCAGCTGTCTGATTTTGGGTCTAGTGGCAGAAAAGCACAACATCCTCACTAAAAGTATGAGAGGAGGCTACTGGAGAGGGGCAAGCGCAGGAAGAGAACCATCACTATTGGACGTACAGTCAAAGGCAGAATACCCGAACATGTCAAAGCAGCAGTGTTGCAGGAGACTATGCCTGGTCATTGAGATTTTTGATTTTATTTTTGGAAGGCTTCACAACTCTCAACACTGCTAGCCATGCCAACTAGTAGCCATCAATATCAATCTGACCTTGACCTACTTTACCTCTAGCTCCTTCCAAGGATCAGAAATGACCCTGCCTTAAGGGTCTAGGCCCGAAACGTCAGCCTTTCTGCTCCTATGATGCTGCTTAGCCTGCTGTGTTCATCCAGCTGTGCACCTTGTTGTCTCGGATTCTCCAGCATCTGCACTTCCTACTGTCTCTCTTTCCAAATGAGCATGGGCATTGCGATAGTAACCCAAGTACAGGCCAGTGCACTCCAATCAAAATCAGAAGATCCTGTGTGGGCTTGATATGGTGAATGGTGAAAGGATGTTTCCCCAAGTTGGAGAAACCTGAACTAAGGGAAAAAAAAGTTTGAATATAAGGAGTCCCCCAATTTAATATAGAGATGAGGATTTTTTTATTTCTTTCAGGGGATTTGTTTCTGTTTGAACCACTCTTTTCCCCAGAAAGCTGAGGAGGTGGTGTCATTAAATGTTTTTAAAGCAGCAATAGATGGATAGATTCAAACATGCAAGGAGCAGGAGTAGGCCATTCAGTCCCTCCAGCCTGTTCCACCATTTAATAATATTGTGGCCAATGGGAGTGCAACCTAAAGTCCACATTCTCGCTTACCCCGATAACCTTTCAACTCTTTTTGCTTAACAAGAATCTATCTATATCGGTGTTTAAAAAGAAATTCAAGGTCATTGTTTTGGCCACATTTTCAGGGAGAGAATTCTGTTTCGAATGTGCAACCCCTGGTTTTTAATCAGTGACTCCCCCCTCCCCCGCTAATTTTAAATTCTTCCTCAACAAGAAAATCCTCTCCATGTCTACCCTGTCAAGACTGCCAAGGATTTTACACATTTCAATTAAGTAACTACTTATTTGGCAATTTTGCCAACCATATCTTTTGGACCTTTGTATAAATAATTTATTATAATTTGTAAACAGTTGAAATCCCATCACCGGTCCCTGTGGCATATCACTTGTTACATCTTGCCAACCAGAAAAAGACACATTTATACTTCCTATAAGCTTTCTGTTAGACAGCCCCAATGCTATCTGTTACACCATGATATTTTCCTAAATAACCTTTGATTTGGC